CTCCTCCCTCTCCTCCTCCTCCTCCTCCTCCCTCTCCTCCTCCTCCTCCTCCTCCTCCTCCTCTTCCTTCTCCTCCTCCTCCTCGTTGGGGGTGTTCTGGTTAGGGAGCCCACGGAGGACGTACGCGGCCTCCCAGTCCGCGAGACCAGCCTCCCCGATGTGAACGCTCGCGCCATGCGCCCGCTCGAAACCGACGTGGGTTCATGTGCATATGCGTCCTGCTTCGCTCCTGCCTGGCCGCAAGAAGCAGAAGCAACGGCATCAGCCCTACGCGCAAGCCTTGGAAGGGCCGTCTCTGACGGCCCCGGAGCCCGGCAAGGGGCCCCGGAGGCGGAGTCCAGCCAAAAGCCTCCGCGTGGATTGCCTCGAAGCGTTGGAGGTCTTGACTACTTACCAGACCACCCCAACCCAGCCCAACCCGAAGCCCCGAATTTCGGGTTGGGGGGGGTACGGGTTCCATTGGTGTTTTCTCAACGTTTCCCGACCCCCCCCCCCCTGACACTCGTGCTCCTGTGAGGTGCGTGCTGGAGTGCATGCGCGCGTGTGCCATAGCCGCTGTTGATCAGACAGGCGCGCCGCCCCGGGGGTAGTGCGGGTGCCCTCGATCGGTGCGGGTGCCCTCGATCGGTGCGGGTGCCCTCGAAAAACTCATACTCCACTCGCGGTCGGATTCTCGGATTCGCAGGTTCCATATGTGTTTTGTCAACGCTCCCCGACCCCACCCCACCAGAGGATTCTCGGATTCGCAGGTTCCATCTGTGTTTTTGTCAACGTTTCCCGACCCCTCCCCCACCAGAAACGGAGGGCAAACTGAGGCCTCCGGGTTGGGCTGGGGTGGCTTGGTCGGTGGTGGCCTGGGCTGGAGGCCGCGGAGGCCTCCCTGGAACTCCTCGGGGCACCCCTGGGCCGGGCGTACAGTCGGGGCGTTGACCTAACGAACCCTAAATAAGGAACGAGGCCCCTTTTTCCCACCAGATAACAGTCGATTTCCCATCGAAAACCTAAGGAACACCTAAGGCAAGCTGTGAAACACTTAAGGAACACGGAGCCCCTCCCCAACGAAAAAGGTTCCTTCTTCAGGGCCCCGACTGTACCTCCGGCACCCCCCGCCATGTCCTGGGCGCTCCGCAGCGCCGCCTCGAAGGTCGAGCTCGGGTCCGCCTCGAGGCGCTGCAGGATCACGTTGGTCGTGGAGTTTCGGGTCGGGCGAAAGGGGGGGATAGCAAAGAGGGGGTTTGAGAATCAGCTCACGTAGCTGATATTCCCGGCGCCTCCCGGCGCCGGAGGCGGCGATGTATCGAGGAATGGGCCCCTCGGTGAGACCGAAACCAGCTGTATGCAGCAAATTTCGTACCCCCCCTTTCCCAATCCCCCCCTTTCGTCCGGCCCGAGAGTTGAGGATGCCCTCGAAGGCGTGCACCGTGGCGTGGGGCAGGCAGCGCCGGGCCATGTGAGCGACGCAGAAAACAGGCGTCCCACGCGCGATGGCACGGCGAGCCTGCGCGGTGGCCTGCGCGGGCCGCCATGAAAGGCACGCAGCAGACGAGAGTGCCCAGGATCGACCTTGCGAGGGCAACTGGCGCGCAGAAGTCCGCGCAGACGGCCCCGCTGCTCTGCGTCGCCCAGGCTTCGAGGAACAAGAAGCGGCGTGAACATCAACTGTCCAGGGGCTCCCATCTTCGCGCTTCGCGCTGCGGGAGGCGCGAAGTGCGAACAACTTCGCGCTCTCGCGCCACCTCCCAGGGGAGAAGAGGAGGAGGGGGAATCGGAGCCGAGTCGCGAAGCGCGAATGACTTCGCGCCCTCGAGGGCGCCCTTGCTCAAGGGCAGGGGTTCTGGCAAATTCGCTCAACACCTGTCCCCAGCCCCCCAGGGGTTCACACTGACAAGTCTTTCGAGCCGCGCCCAGCCACAGCGACGAGGGGGGCCCTCCATCCCTCTCCGCACACGGCCCGAACTGGAGCTGGGCCACCTCGGCCCCCTTGCCAACTTCAAAGGCACACCGCCGATCCGAGAAATCCGCGAGGACCTCCGAAAATGTGTGCTCATTAGAGGCTTCCTTGATGGGGACGGAGTAGATGGGGTCGGGGGATCGCGCCGCATCGCCGATACATCGCCGATACATCGGCGATGCATCGGCGATGCATCGTCGACGTGGGCAATGCATCGGCGACGTCGACGTGAAGGACATTGGGCTCCACCTCGGGCCGCATCGGCGATGCATCGGCGATGCGGCGCGATCCCCCGATTCCACCTATGAGAACGTCAGTCCCGGCCAGACACGTTCTGAGAACACTTCGTGCAAACCACAAAAGGCTCTTAGAACATTCTTCGGTGGGCCCGAAGACGAGCCAGGACGCTTCGCCACTGCTCGATTCATGCCGTCAGTTCTTCCTCGACATGTTGAACAGCGGGACGCCGTCCATGCACGCGGACTCGTAGAGGTAGCGGGCGCCGCGGCTGGACGCCAGGGCCAGCAGCTCGGGGAGGCGCAGCGCCACGGGGGCCTGCTGCCGGGAGGCGTCCACAAAGCCGGGGGGGGGCGCCCGCGAGGGGGACTCGCAGACCACGGCCCGAGGCACGCGCGCCGAGGGGGACTGCGGAACTCGAATCTCTGCCCTCGACACCATCGGGCCCGAGCAGCCACCTGAACCGACATCGCACTCGTCGCGTAAGCCTTCACCAGGAACTCAAAGCAAGGCCATGCCATCGCTGTGTGAAGGCAGATGAGCCTGGAAAGGCTGCTCGAAGCCTGCGGAGGCCGGGGGGACTGAGGAACTGAGGAGAGAGTGCAATGACGTCCGGGGCGATGTCGTGGCACTGGTCATGCTGCCACCCCTCCTGGTCAGCACCCCCCTGGCTGGCCGCCCCCGGGATAAAACTGGCCCCACGGGGGTCCAAAAATCGGGGGCATCAACCGGGACCGCCCTCCTCCAGAGGAGCAGGAGGACGACCAGGAGAAGGACCAGTGGACCACAATAACCGCATCAACGAGGTTGCAACGAACCCTCCCTGCAAGAATGTATCATCATTGTGGGAAGTACCCCGTTGGAAAACAACCGTCTGATAATCCTCATTCGTACCAAACGACCACTCCTGGGACTTCAACGCCGGGAATCAACGTGCCTGCTGCGTCCTCCCAGTCTTAAAACGTGCCAGAACACAATTCCTGGGACTTTACGCCTGCAAGTCAGCGTGATTGTTGCGTCCTGATAACCCTAAACCGTACCAGAACAGCACTGTGGGAAATTCACCCACGCAAATCCTTGAAACTCATGTAACCTTCAATGCAAGTTGCGCGGCGCTACAAAGCGAGAGCACGGCCCTCCATCGTTGGACCTGTTGCAAAGGTTCAAGACGAACGTGCGCGGCGCTGAAGCGAGAGCAACATTCTGAAAATGGCTGGCCCTTCATCCATGAAGCTGCTGCAAACCACCGAAAAAGAATTTGCGCGGCGCGATGGCCCGAGTAACATGTTGAACACGGCCCACCCTCCGTCCTTGAAGCTGCTTCATGTTAACGAATATACGCGGTGCTGGGACGACGTCCACATTTTGAAAACAACCCGCCCTCCATCCTTGCAGCTGTTCCACGTGTGAAGCTTCAAGATCATGATGGTGAGGACGTCTCAGGCGACGGGCCCGGCCAGTCGGCCCCACCGACACGTCTAGGGGTGCGGCAGGGGGGAACCGCTTATAAAGATAAATGGAGGACCTCCATGGAGGGACCTCCTCCTCCTCCTCCTCCTCCTCGCGCGCGCGTTCCCTCGTTTCCTCTTCCCCCGCCCCTTTCTCCCCCGCCCCGCCCTGTCGGTCGTCGGTCGTCTGTCGCTAGTCTGTCTCGTCGTGCCGCTGGTCTTGTCTGCGCTGGCGAAAGAAACGTGCATTGGAGGAAGTACCAGGCGGCATCAGGAGGCTCCTCCTCCTCCTCCTCCTCCTCCTCCTCCTCCTCCTCCTCCTCCTCCTCTCCTCCTGCCTCCTCCTCCTCCTCCTCCTCCTCCTCCTCCTCCTCCTCCTCCTCCTCCTCCCCTCCCTCCTCTCCTCCTCCTCCTCCTCCCCTCCTCCTCCTCCTCCCCTCCTCCTCCTCCCCCTCCTCCTCCTCTCCTCCTCCTCCTCCTCCTCCTCCTCCTCCTCCTCCTCCTCCTCCTCCTCCTCCTCCTCCTCCTCCCTCCTCACTCCCTCCTCCTCCTCCTCCTCCTCCTCCTCCTCCTCCCCCTCCTACTCCTACACCCGGGGAACGTGGGCCACGGCTGCGAGCAGACCTCGGCCAATGCGGCTCACCCCATCCAAGGCAGGATGCGCCGTGCCCGGATCGGCCAGCCGCTCGCCGTCGCCCGAGCCGCCCGTGCCCCAGACGCCCTCCAGCGTCGGGGGCACGGGGGCTCCTCGGCCCCGCCCCCCGGCAGTCGGAGCGAAGCGGCAACGACAGCCAGACACGCCGACTCCGGAGCCTGCGGTTGGCTCTGGCGGACGTTTACTGCCAGAGACGGGCTGGAGGCACGGGTTCGGCCACGTCCTGAGGGGCGTGCTCGGCCGGAAGGGCCAAGTATTCATCGACTGATGGGAGCCCGCCCAACCTTCACGCCTCGCCCTGACCAGACGCTCCAAGATGGAGCGCCGCGACGTCAGCCGAGAACGCGTCTCGCACAATCGCTGTGGGCCCGTTGGCTCTGGGAAACTCCCCGCAATCGATCTTCGCAAGGTTCTCTTCACCCTTGCGCGTGATCCCCACACGAGGAGGTCAGTTGGCGAGTGACACCGTCGCTCAACAAAAGCAACATGAGAAAAAAAATAATTGGACACGCAGTGCACCCTGATGGAGTCACGCAGCTCTCTCGCACAAACAGTGGCTGCACTGGAGGCTGGCGAGCGTTCCTTCGGGACGCACTGGGTCAAGGTAGCTGTGAGGGTAGTGGCTTTGTCCAACACCTCCGCCACCATCCATCAAGCTTGTACTTACAGTCAACGCATATGATGAGGATGCACGATCAGGATGCAAGGGCCCTGGGAGGCCAGGTGGACACCTCTCGAGCGGGGCGCGGCCAGCGAAACTGGCCGAGGATGAGCAAAGCAGGAATGATACAAGGTAACGTGGCAAGGCCACTCCTCCTTATCCAATGTGCCTTGACCCATGCTGACTGGTCCCAAGGGCCTGGAGGACAGGACCGGACAGGACAGAACATCTGCATGAGGGGGGTCAACGTCAGTGCGCCCGCGAAGGTGCAGTGTAGAGCGCATGCGTAATTCCCCTGCGTGAGTGTCATGCAGCAGGGACTCGACAGGAGGAAAAGGGAGGAGGCCGACATGTGGGCAGGACGCGCCGCCGAGCCTTGTTAGCCGTCACCACCGACGCGCCGACCTCCAGCGCCGCCCTGGTGAGCGACAGCGCGGGCTCCCCCGTGGAGTGGTTCGTCGGGACGGCAGTGGCAGGGCTTCGGTCTGCGCGCAGGCAGCCCCAGAAGGTAAAACTGGCTGGCCACGACATCGGCGGTTCAAAGTTGGGGCCCCGAATGGGGCCCTGAGGACGAGTGTGGCCTCGAAGAGCGGAACTTCTGCTTGGGACCCCTCCCTTATCCTCAGGGCCCCATCCGTGAACCGCCGACAGCAGGCCCCCAGGTCGGTCCGGGCAGGGCCTGAACACCTCAGATCTGGTGGAGCGCCCCGGAAGGCGCCGCCCGAGCAGGCGCTTGTGAAGGGCCCCCCAGACACACAAATAAATACACACAAATAAAAGTAGTCCCCATATTTCATCATACTTTCTGGGTTCCTGTCTTCCCCCCCACCTCCCATATTTTCACTGATTTTCTGTGTTTCTTTTCCTCCTGAGTTGAGAATGCCAAGGGTGGGCCACGGACAGTCCCGGGGTGCCCATCTGAGGGCTGCCCGCGTGGGCTGGAGCGGGTGGAGCCGACGGATCGCGCACCACATTGACTACCTACCAGACCACCCCAACCCAACCCGAAGACCCGAATTTCGGGTTGGGGGGGGGTACGGGTTCCATATGTGTTTCCTCGATGTTCCCCGACCCCCCCCCACTGGAAATGGAGGTCAAGTTGAGACCTTCGGGTTGGGTTGGGGTGGTTTGGTGGGTGGTGACACATCGCCGATGCGTCGGCACCGTCGCGATGGAGAGCATCGGACCCCACGTCGCGCCGCACCGCCGTCCTGCCCCGTCCTCAGGGAGCCCAGCGGTGCAGCCGCTCCCTGGGGCCGTCAACGCGCAGCCCACGGCCTTGCCAGGATGGCCTCCACTACGACGTCCAGCCTGCCACCTTGCCGCAGACGCCGCAGCAACGCCGCGGTCTCCTCGTGCGATCGCTGCCGACGCCGCCACCGCCGCCGCTGACGTCGTCGTCGTCCTCGCCGTCGTCGTCGGGGTCGGCGTCGCAGCCGCCGTCGTCGTCCTCGCTGGCGCTGACGCCACCGCCGCCATCGTCGCTGTCGATGGCGTCGTGGTCGCCGCCGCTGGCGTCGTCGCCGCCGCCGTCGTCGGCGTCGTGGTCGGCGTCGTCGCGGTCAGCGCCGCAGCCGCCACCGCGGTCTCATCGGGCGTTAGCCCGCCGGGCAGCGCCCCCGGCGCCGCCTCCACACGCTCGGCCTGGAGCGCCGCGCGCAGGTCCACCGCGGGGCCCTCCTGGGCCACTGCGGCGTCGACGACGACGGCTAAGTACGCCGACGGCAGTCACGACATCGACAACAACGACGACGAAGACAACGACGACACGAATCACGACAACGACGACAGCGACGACGACGACGACTACGACGACCACGACGACGACGACGACGACGACGACGACGACGACGACGACGACGCTGCGATGGATATAACCACCCAGAGATCCGATGCATGGTGTGTTTGTTCAATGCGTGGCCCCCCGAAGTCCAAAATCATTTGTCCAAGGCTGGCGTTGCATCCTGACGCGTGATCTAACGGCCCTGGGGCCCCGCGAGGACCCCAAAGAGGCCGAACATGGCAAAAGAACTCCGTGTACAATCATTCAACACGCTGGAAATCTGGATTCAATGCCTAACGTGTTTTTTATTATGTATCTCGGCCCTCCTCCGCCACCAGGCGGCCGCTCCGCCCGGTCAGCACGGCGGCCACGCGGGGCAAGAAACCCAGCCGGGCCTCCCGCTCCAGCAGCACCTGCCGCTGGCGCCGCCGTCGTCGCCGCTGGCCAAGACGAGGGGGGCGAAAAACGCGGCAGCTGGCAAGGTGTGACTCGAGACTCCCCAAACACTCGTGTGAGGGTGCGCCGAAGTGAGGGTGGGTGCGCCGTGCGAGCCCTGCCACTGCTGCTGGTGTGTGTGTGTGTGCGTGCGTGCGTGCGTGCGTGTGTAGGTGTGTGTGCGTGCGTGTGTGTGTGTGTGTGTGTGTGTGTGTTGTGTGTGTATGTGTGTGTGTGTGTGTGTGTGTGCGTGCGTGCGTGCGTGCGTGCGTGCGTGCGTGCGTGTGTGTGTGTGTTGTGTAAGTTGTGTGTGTGTGTGCGTGCGTGCGTGCGTGCGTGCGTGTGTGTGTGTGTTGTGTGTGTATGTGTGTGTGCGTTTTCTCACCAGCGCAGTGACTCTGCCTAGCCGCCGACGAAACAAGCGTGGTGTGTGTGTGTGTGTGTTGTGTGTGTGCGTGTGTGCGCTCCTAGTCGTGCAACCGTTTCCTGCTTTTCGACCTTTTCCGCCCTGTCGCTGCGCGCAGGGTCGCGACGCCAAAATGTGTGTGCGTGTGCGCCATATTGGAGACGGGCACGCCGTGTGGGCCCTGCAACTTGAGCTCTTGGTGGAGATCCATGTGGGACCACGAAACGTGTGAGAGGTGTGCAGAGTTCAGGGCGAGTGCGCAGTGCGGGCCCTGCCTCTGGGGGCATCGGTTGATTTCCGTGGGGCCACGAAACATGGGAGGCGCGTGGCGAATTCAGAGTGGGTACGCCATGCGAGTCCTGCCACTGGGGGCGTCGGCGGATCTCCCTATGGGGCCACTAAGCGTGCGAGGCGAGCGCCAATTGCTGGGCGGGTACGCCATGCGAGGTCTGCTACTCGTGGGGCCACGGACCTTGTGAGGGGTGAACCGAAATGGTCAGGGGGACCCAACGCAACACCACTCCGTGGGCCCTCCGGAGGAATTCCCTGTGCGGCCACGAAACGTGTGAGGGTATATCGGAATGGCCGAGGGCACCATGCGACACCACCTCCAACACCACCCCCTGGAGGCTTCGGTGGTGCTCCATATGGGGCCACGAATCGTCTGAGAGGCGCGCCGGAATTCAAATGCAAAGGGCATGAGCAATGAGAGGAGCGACGGAGGAGGAGAACGAGGAGGAAGGAGTGAATGAGACGCGGGGCGCTGTGGATTCAGTTGAGGACTCAACTCCACATGATGGTTGGGAAACATGTTAAGAACCTCGAACCACCTCCATCCACGATCTATTATTGCTGCACGCCCTGGGCATCTCCACCTTTTCCCTGGCCGCCTTCTCATCCTAAATCGTGTCTGACGACCCTGAGCGAAACACACGTACAGTCAGAGGTCGACCACAAGAAACATTCCACAAGAAACCCAACCCTGAGACCCCAGGACGTCCACTGCATGTTTGGTGTGGGAACGTCACGCGTTCAATACCAGAACCATCGGAACCCAAGAAACCCGGAGCACCCCGGAGGCAAGCAGAGTGTCTCTTGGCATGGGTTTCCACTGCAGAACAGCCCTGCCGTCACGGATTTCTACGACGCCCAGAGCCAGAAAAAAGAAGAAGAACAAAACGGCATACACATCATCTTTGGCGCTCCGCGCGGATTTCTGTGATCTGCGCTGGAACCCCTCCCTGGCGCGCAGAGCGCGCCTGGGGCGGCGCCCGAGGCGCCGCCCCAGAAACCAGAAAATCCGCGCGGAGCGCTCAAAGTTTAGACCGATACTGATTTTTAATTTCGGCGGATCTGGAGGTCCCCATGTTCCCGAGATCCCGAGATGTAACGTCGACCCCCGGAGCTGATCTGGGGCGCGCTCCGGTCATCCTCAGCTCTGGGCATGGATCCAGCCACGGTCGCGAGGGCGCCCCAGGAGGCCGCAGACAGGAGCAGAAAGGCACACCGCCGAATCGCCCCAGATACCGGCTCGATCTTCCTCTTTCCACCTCTCTTTTCGGCAGCAAGCGAGGGGGGGGAAGTGACAAGTGGCGGGCCTTCTCAGAAGGCTCGGAAGTCCCTGGGCCTTCTGCAAAAGCTTTCGAGTCCTTCCGCGAAGACACAGGACAACTTCCCAGAAGGCGCGAGGGCTCCTGAGAAGTCCCGCCGCCTTCCGAGCAGGCCTTCTTCTTCTCATTTCCCCCCCTCGCCCGCCGCCGATCTTCCCCACCAGAAGGGCAATAGCATCACTAGCATCAGCTCTCGGAGGTCCGCGCGGATCGTGTTGGATCTGCGCCGCATCCCCCCCTCCCGCGGCGCGCGGAGCGCGCCGTGGGGCGGCGGCCGCGGCTCCGCCACACGGGGGCTCAGCGCCGACCCAAGGGATCCGCGCGGAACCCCGCAAATTTTAGGTCGGGCGTGTCCCCCCTACAGGCAGACGTTGGACGAGAAATAATTTGAAAAAAAAAATCCCAAACAATGCTCCACAACAGTCAAAAGGTAGTCCCGGTTCTATTGTTTCACTATTTCTGAAGATTCTCTCTGTAGAAAGACATGCCCGACTTAACGCAAGTTTGTTTATGCTGATGTATTAGTTCTGCTTCGATCTCCCCCTCCTCCAGGCGGCGCCTCCGCGAAGGCACGGTTGGCGCTCCCGAAGCCCACGAGCGCCAGCCACGCGGGAGGCGCGGTCGCGGCGGCCGCGTCCATTCCAGCGGCCGCGCCAGCTCGGCACCCTCCCGCGCCCCTCGATAGGGCGCCCACGGAAAACGCGCCGTACGCGCCCAGCCATGTGCACGACTACGTTGGAGGTAACGCCCGGAAAATCTTCGTAGAAGCGGTTGAAAGCTCCTAGACCCAATCGTGTGGTCAGTTAGCCGGATTAGGCCTGGGATGAAGCGGGATTGAACTGGACTTGGCGGGATTGGGCCGGCCGCCGACCACGGATATACCAACACCGATGCTGCATCTAACCTCCCTGAAGTTGCATCCTGAAGCGCGCCATCCCCCCCCAAGTCCGCAGAGCCAGCTTCGTGCAACGAAGCTGGGCACTGCACACTCTCAGAGTCAAGGAGCAGTTAGCTGTGCGCACGTGCTTCTCTTCGCTGCGCTCCTGGCTCGAGGCCCTCCCGCACGTACGTCGCCCAGACTGCCGGGGAGTGAGTGCGTCAGTCAGCGAGGCGCTCCCCAAAGCTTATGTTGCCCCATCGTACTCAAGCGCCACATCCCGGAAATAATTTCGAGCACCCAGACGAGGACCGAAACAGTGTCGAACGAGTATCGCCTCCCAGGGCCCGACACGTGAAAACCCTATAATTTCGGCACTTGCTGTCTGGTGATCAAGGCTAAAGTAGGTTGGAACATCATAACCGAAAGCGGATCCTTGACAATTCTGCGTAACTGAGGGCCCCTTGCCACCGAGGTGAGACACGAGGCGGAGAAACAGGGCATGCAAGAGCTGGGGATCCCTGGAGCCGTCGGGGTCGAACATCTTAGCCCCTTGTCCCAACGAATCATCCTTCCCCTCGCACTGCAAGTGGAAGCCTCTCTGCTACAGCTGTCCGGGGAAACGCGGACCGAGGATCGAAAACGCATTACGGCAAGGCCCTGCCTTGGCGGCTCCGGGCCATGATTTGGCCGATCCCGGGACCGGATCCTACTCTCGGCTGGCTAGGCCGGGAGGCAAGAGTCTCTCCCCAAACTGGGTCCAGCAAGGGTGACGATCGGGCTGCTACCCGCCTGTCTTCCAGAGACGGCCGAAGCCCTCTGTGTCACAGGTGCCACGAGGAGGAGGAGAAGGAGGAGGAGGAGGAAGAGGGTGAGGATGAGGATGAGGATAAGGATGAGGATGATGATGAGGAGGAGGAGGGGGAGGAGGAGAAGGAGGGGGCGGCTTCCAAGAGCCACGGAAAGCTGGGGGGAAAACGAGGGGGGGGGGGGGGGGGGGGTGTCTCCGTGGTCCTCCTCCCTCTCCTCCAAGCTCCTCCTCCTCCTCCTTTCCTACTCCTTCCTCCTCCTCCTCCTCCTCCTCACTCCTCCTCCTCACCTCCTCCTCCTCCTCCTCCTCCTCCTCCTCCTCCTCCTCCTCCTCCTCCTCTCCCCCTCTCCTCTCCTCCTTTCCGTTCCTCCTCCTCCTCCTCCTCCGCCTCTTCTTTGTCTTCTTTCCTCCCTCACCACCACCTCCCTCCATCCCTCCCTTCCTTCTCCTGCTCCTCCTCCTGCCCCCTCCCCTCGCACGCGCGGTCCCTCGCTGGCCAACGCCTACCCCTGCACGCTGAAGCGCACGCACGCAGGAGGGAGGGAATGATGATGATGGTAATGATGATGATGATGATGATGATGATGATGATGATGATGATGATGATGATGATGATGAGGAGGAGGAGGAGGAGGAGGAGGAGGAGGAGGAGGAGGAGGAGCAGGAGGAGGAGGCGGAGGAGGCGGAGGAGGAGGAGGACGAGGAGGAGGAGGAGGAGGAGGAGGAGGAGGAGGAGGAGGAGAAGGAGAAGATCAAGGATCGAGGTTCTTTTACGTTTTTGGCATTCTCTTGGGGCCTCTTGGAGGACCCAGGCGGCCTCCGCCACGCGAGCGACGCCTCACCTCCGATCCCAGGGAGGAGTAGACTCGATGCTCAAGGATCGAGGAGGTCCGAGATTCCAAGCGCTCGAGGAGGTTCGAGGATCGAGGTTCGAGGAGGTTCGAGGTTCGAGGAGGTTCGAGGAGGTTCGAGGTTCGAGGAGGTTCGAGGTTCGAGGAGGTTCGAAGTTCGAGGTTCGACGATCGGGGAGGTTCGAGGCTCGAGGAGGTCCGAACTCCCAAGCCCTTGAGCGCTCTGGGCCCCCGTCCCGTTCCTGCAGAACCCCCGGGTCAATCGAGAAGGGTGGTCATTGGCGGCGCGCACACGGGGGTGGAGGGAGGGGGGAGGGCTTCTCAGAAGCAGGGGTGTTCCTAAGAAGCCCTCCCCACTCCCTCCACCCCCCTCCGCGCGTGACTGAGGTCAGTTGCGTTGGGGGGGTACCAACTCGGCTCACGTAGGCTGGTCTCTCGGGCGCCTCCCAGCGCCAGAGGCGCCATCGCATCGAAGAGAGCGCCCGGCTGCGGGGCCGACACCAGCTGCACGCAGCAGATGTCGCAACCCCCCCATTCCCTACTCATGCCCCCCCCGCCGTCGTCTGACACGAGAGCTTGCTCCACAAACCTTCTGAGGCGCGCTCTGACCAGGATTTCGAGGCGCATGCAGTGGTGGCGACGAGGGCCTCCCACGAGGCCCAGAAATGGCAAAACCAGGAAAGGGTAGCGGTATGGGTACAAGGAAGCTGGAGCAAATGGAAGATGGAAAGTCAGCGAAAGTGGAAGTGGCCAGGGCTGGAAAAACTGGCAGTGGGTGAAACGAGCCTGAAACAGTAGGGATGCGGTCGCCAGGGCTGGAAAAAAATAAAGGAACCTGGCCAGGGCTGGAAAGAAAGGAACGGCTGGCCCCGGCGGCCACTTCTGCCAGTTTCAATGTACCTTTCCCATCTCTGACGATTTGCTCGGACCCAATCGAGGAGGCTGAGGAGCCCAAAATCGAATCAACAAGTCGGATCGGAAACGTGAGTCGGATCGGCGGAAATCGGCAGCCGAGTCGGGAGCAGTCGAATCGGCAGAACTCGGCAGGCCAGTAGGCCTCCACTGAGGAATCGGCAGCCAAATCGGAAGCCGAACCCGAAGCCGCATCGGCATCGGAGGCCATCGACATCGACTCATTTCGACTCGGAGGAATCGACACGAGCCCTGACCGAGGAGGCCCGGGCCTGGCGCTGCGCCTCTCGGAGAGCGCGCCCCTGGGGCTGCCCGCCCGGCCCCGAGCGGAGGAAGGGCCCGGAGGCCAAGCGGCACTGCCGCGGGGGGGACGGCGGGCGCTTCGGAGCGCCGACGCCGACCGGCCAGGGCGGGCACGACAGCGACGGCGCCGCGACGGCGCCAAGACGGACTCGACGGCGACGGCTCGGGGTGATCCGATCGTGTTGACTCTCCAGGGCCATGTGGCTCCCATCGTGCTCGAGGACCAGATCCCAGAACTATCAAGCACCCAGAGCAGTGTCGAAACAGTGTCGAACGAGTATCGCCTCCCAGAGCCCGACACGTGAAAACCCTCCAGTTTCGGTACTTTGTGGTGCTCGACATTCGTTCTGATGATTCAGGCTAAAGTAGGTTGGAGCATCAGAACTCCAGATGCCTCCTGGAAAGGGTCCGAGCAGATGGAGTCGGAGGATCGAGCCGCTTCACCGATGCATCGCCAGCGTATCGGCGATGCATCGGCGACGTCGGCGTGGGGAAACATGGGCTCCACATCGAGCCGCGTCGTCGATGCATCGGCGATGCGGCGCGATCCTCCGATCCCGTCTACTCGGACACCGTCTAGGAGGCCTATACTCTCCCGGGACGTAATTGGAATGGGTCGGATCGAGGTGGCTGGACTGGATGGTGATTGAATCGAGGTGATTGCGTGTGTGCTGGGCTGGGGCTTCTTGATTTGTGTTTTAAAGTTGTGCTGCTTAATTGTTTGTTTGAGTTAGGCTGGTGCTTCTTCGTCGGGGACTTCCTGGGGGCTCTGAGGCACTGACCTCAGGAGGCCTCCTGGGGCCGCGAAGACATCCCCTCCGACAGCCGTGGCTCGTGCTCGTCACTCTCACGTGGAGCACTGTGTGTCGTCTGTCGCGCAGCGATCTGGAGATGCCCAGTACCAGAGAACGCATGCGCGCACCGCGGGCAATCACACGAGCGTGAACTGCACATGTACTCGCTCGGCCGAGTCATAGAGTACAAGGGTTATGTTCGAGGGTTATGTCGGAAAGAATAAAGAAAATTCGGCCCCATTGGAGGCTACTACACGGAATTAGGCCGCGCACTGAACGGGATTAGGCCGCATTAGACGGAGTTAAGCGAGATTTCGGAACAGGGCAAAATCAGAATTTGACCTCCCAGGAGTTGCATCCGAACATTCATGTTTGCGCCGATGGTGCGCCCATATGCCTGAGTCGATTTAGCTGATATTGCCGCAATGGCAAGGGAATCGCAAGAGGTAGAGAGAAACTAATTTCTTCTGAAGGAAGAGCAAGCGCGGCGATTACCAGACTATATCTAAGTATACCAGGTGCACACGGTGCTCTCCTGTGCATGCAATGCTCCAACACCCAGAGACAACAACTTACTGCATCCTGCTGGAGGCATCACGGTACTCCAGACAAGCCCCTGAATCTATCCTTCCTGGTCATCCTAGTAACCAACCCCTAATTCAAACCTGATTACGGTTATTAAATGGAAAATGCTAGCCCGGTTGCATGTCTTGATTATGTAGTCGCGCCCCGGCCAAGGGGTCCTTGTCCAGGCCGCCGTTCTTGCTCTTGCTCATGTCATTGCTGTCCTTGCCCTTGTCGTCCTTGTTCTTGTCCTTGTCCTTGGCCTGGCAAAAACGGGAGGCGAGGAGCAAGAACAGGAGCAGGACGAAGAGGAGCGGGCCAACACGCGCGACATCACGAATTGCTCGTGACACGGCCCCCAGGACAACTCGACACTCTCTTTGGGACCGTGTCGCCCTCGCCCCGAATCATGTCTCTGAAAACCCGAATTGGGTACGGAAACAAAAGGTACGATGCCAAACAACAAATGCTGTCCAAGACCGACAGCGGCCGCCCACAGTTGGGCAGACGGCCTTCTGTTTCAAATTA